TTGGGCCCCACCAGAGGCCCGAGCCAGGAGTGGCGGGGGGGGGGGGGGGGGGGGGGGGGGCGGGGGAGGTGAGCAGAGGCGCCGGCCAGGCTCCTCCACCCCAGCCCAGGGGAGCGGTCTAGATCCCTCCCTCCCTCCTTCTCAGCTGACAGGGCTGGGCCGGACTAGCGTGCACGGACCTGGGATCGAAACTCAGCAGAGTACCCACCCACCCCGGGACCCTTGCCCGGGCGGAGCCCAAGCTTGCCCAGCCCCAGGACCGGGATCATGCTTCCCAGGAAGGGGGATAATGAGATCAGAGCAATGGCAGAGGAAGGGGGCTTTCGGGTCAGCCAGACGGACATGTTTACTGAGCACCTGTTGTGTTCCAAGCCCGGAGCCTGGTTCTAGGAACACAGTGGGGACCCAAACCAGACCTGGCTTCTTATAGGCTGGGGGGCCCTGGCCAAGTCACTCGACCTCTCTGAGCCTTAGCTGCCTCATCTATAACAAAGGGCTCCTAACTCCCCACCGCCTGTGAAGATTGGCCTAAATTTCCGTGCTGTGAGGTATGAGATAAACGCCCTGCGAAGAACGGTGCTCAATAAAAACACCGTTTTATCTGGAGCCTTTTCCTCGGAAAGTCACTTGTGCCTGGGTCTGCCCTCAGCCTGTCTCTAGATCATAAATCCCTGTGCTCTCCCGGTGACCTCAGCAGGACCTGCCCTTGCTCTCTCTGGTCCTCAGCTTTCTCCCCTCTGAAATGGGATCACAGAGTCTGTGCTGGCTTCTTCCTAGGATCAGGTGGGGAGACTGCGCTCATTAAAAAGGGCTTTTTCCGGGGGTAGAGAAGACACAGCAGAAGCCCTGATCTTCAAACGACAGGTCATAATCTACTATGAGCCTTGAAAGCAATGTAGTGGCTGCAGCCAGAAATTTTCAAGAAGAAACTGGAAGAAACAATATTAGAGAATATGTCACAAAGTTCAGGTTTTCAGCTCGTGAAACTCTTATTCCAGTTCAATATTGACACATGTGTGTTTACTGAGTCAGGATGTGAAACATACTTCTTACTGGGGGTGAGGACGCGTTGGAGAGCTACACGTAATAGTTAAGGACGCAGGCTCTGGGACCGAACGAGCCTGGGTGTTGCATGTTGACTCTGCCCCTAACTAATGGAGCAACGTCAAGCCAGGGACTTTAGCTCTCTGTGCCTCAGTTTTCTCGCTTCAAAAGAGGGATAGAAATAACTCTTACCTTGTTAATGAACTGCTTAGAACAGCCTGGCATGCAGCAGAAGCAAGGCCCGGAGGAGGTGGCTCTGTAGGAAGGAAAGGAGTCTGCAGCCCCCTCCCCAGTGGAGAAGGTCATCTGGCCCAACCCCCTGATTCCTTAGATGAGAAAACCTGATGCCCTGAACCAGGGAGAGGGTGAGCTGGAGCCTGGGCTCCACTCCTGTCTCTTACCATCCCTTAGGGTAGAAAGAGCACTTGACCCTTTGACTTTCCTGGCTGTAAATTGGGGACAGGAAACACTCAACCTCAGGGGGTTAACGAAATGAGACCCTGCATGCCAAGGGCATAGCACCATGCCTGACATAGAGTCTCTATAAACGGTAGCTGTTTTTACTCAGAATATATTATTCAGTTAAAAAGGTAGGTCCAAAATATATATGCATATACAGTATGAACTCATTCTGTAAAAGAGAAAAGAAAGGCGTGTGGTCTGTGGCACCGTCCAGGGCATTCCCAGTGATTGACTGTTTCTAGATGGTGGGGTGATCCTCACAGGTTTGCTCTTTCTGGTAGAGCTAAACTTCTAGTTCCCAATGTTTGTACAACTAATGTTATTGGGTTTTGGGGGGGCGGGGAGATCACTTTTATCAACCCATATAGTAACTACTAGCCTGCCCGCCTCCACTGACTCCTGTAACAGTCCTGGCCAGCGGCTGGGAGGACCCCACGCCGCCTTCCGCCGAAGATACCAGGTGCGTCATTGTGGTTTGGGTACCCGAGCCCCGAAAAGCACCTGGTTTTCATTTTCTTGTTCATTCACGGTGACGGCTGATGACCTACTGGTCACTTTGTGCTGAACAAATACATGCCAAAAATCACAGACTTCATCTGCGGGGCGGAGGGAGGGTGGCAAAGGCATGCAGTGGTTTATCGAGTTCTTGTCTCCTGTGCACCAAGCTGGGCTTGGGAGCGGACACTGATAAAGGCTGGGGACAGATGTTCTCTAGGTCTCAGATGCCAGGGCCAGAGTGGGCATGAAGGCGGAGGGGGTCTGTGGAAGGAGGTGGAGAGCAGCAGAGCAGCAGGGGTGGGGAAGGAAGGGCTGGAAAGGAAGGGATGGGGAAGGAAAGGAGGTGGTTCAGAGGCTGCTCCCCAGCTGACTGGCCCTCTTCCAGGGCCTTCCCATGATACCAGCTCCTGCTGAACAGCAGTGTGCGTGTGTGTGTGCGTGTGTGTATGCGTGCTCATGTGTAAGTGTGTGTAGGTGTGTGTGCGCTCATGGGTAGGTGTGTGTGTGTGCTCATGGATAGGTGTGTGCGCTCATGGATAGGTGCATGTGCTCGTGTGTAGGTGTGTGCACACGCACGTGTAGGGGTGTGTGTGTGCTAGGGGAGCAGGGGAGGCCAAGACAGGGATGTGGAGGCTGGGGAGGAGTCCATGGTGCACGTGGGCTGTGGGGAAAGACGGACCTTTTAAAAAAGGCACAGGCTTCCGTGAGGCTGCGGTTTTGAGGGTTAACGCAGGCATCCAGAAATTAGGCCCCCCTCCCCGGCCCAGCACCCCGGTCACCCACACTTGCACCACAGCACCTGGCCCCGCACTGTCATCCCCGCTGTGAGCAAGGCCCGCCCTCTGGAGGCCCGGCACGGGGCCTTACTCCATCCCGGTCGGGCCCAGGCCTGGCGCGGTGCCCGGCAGATCACAGGGGCTCGACACATGCCAGTGGATGCCGGAGTCTGACAGCGAATGCGGTCTGGGTGGTGAGTGACTCAGCCACGCCCGGGGCTGGGGACAGCCGGCTTCTGGTTTCCCCTCTCGCTGGCCCGTGACCCGAGCCGGGGCGTGTTAGGAATCTGGGTCTTCCTTCCGAACGCTCCGCACGGCGGGGTTAGCAGAACCCGCCCGCAGGCCTTCCCTGCTCTGAAGACGAGGAAAAGGGCAAAGCGAGGATGAGGGACCCAAATTCCAAAAGGGCTCGACATGCCAAGCGAAGGCTGCAGCCTCCTGCCCCGGCCCTTTGGGGGCATCGGCAGCGGCTAGGAGGCTGGGCAGGGGGAGGCTGGGGCCTGGAATGCCAGGTTCAGTGGCTTCGCTGGAGTTTAGAAGTAGGAGGAGGCCAGCAACAGTATCGGAGAAGAGAGGACCAGGCCCGCGAAGGAAGCTGAGACACGGCAGTTTGGGAGGAGCCAGGAGCTCGGTTTTTGTACCAGGAAAAAAGGGTCTAGGCAGCGGCCAAGACAATCACTGGGAGTCACTCCTCCAGGGAAAATTGCTCCCCACTTCCTCTAGCTCTGTGCGCAATAGAGATGTCAATGTCAACAGCGCCGCCTGCCGGAAAGCCCCAGCATTACGGTATCTTTGTCCTAGAGCTCAGAAACAGCAGGTAAGGGAGATCTGTTCTAGAATGTTCCAGCTGGAATAACACAGTTTAACAGCTATTACTGCTGTTGCTGCTGCTGTTATTGACTAAGAGCTTACTGTGCCCCAGGCACTGTGCTAAGTCAATTTGCTGGATTATCTCATTTAATCTTCCCAATGACCCTACGAGATAGGCACTATTATTAACCCCATTTTCCAGATGAGGAAACTGAGGCAGGGAAGATAAATCATTTTTTTTTCTAAGGTCTCACATTAGTCTGTAGCAAGATAAGCTTTCCGGCCCAGGTCTCTCTGACTCAAAAGCCCATCGTTTTAACTACATCCTTGGGCCTCCTGTCAAGTCTGAGGATGGAATGGAGGCCATCTTTCCATCATCTCCCCTCAGTAGGTCATGGCCGTCTAGAACTCTGCTGAGAAGGCTTCTGAGTTCCACGATGAATTACTGATGTCTGTCAGGGGCACAGGCAGGGATGGGGCCGTGTATGTCAGGTATGTCTTCATCTCCGATCTAGTCGAATTTAGTGCGAGCTTTATGGTTTCCGGAGAAAGGGATCAAAGCATAATCCTCTGGCCTCTGGCTTTACTTGATCGCTCAGCGACTGAAAGGCATCTCAAGCTTATCCTATCCAACTATGAGCCTTTCCTTGGCACCTCCTGAGGCATCGTCCCACCATCTTCCCCATCTGGGCACAAGGCATTACTGGTCCTTGTTGGCTCAGCCAGAAGCCCTGGTATCATCCTTGACCCTCCTACCTCCCACACCCTACATCCAGTCTTCCAACAAATCTCATTGATTCCACCCTCAAAACACATCCGGAATCCGACTACCTTCCCAGCTACCACCACCATTATCTCCCCCGGCCTCGCATGGCAGCCACGTACACAGCCTTGGTACATGGGTCTTAAGCCCCACACTCAGTCTCCACACTGCAGGCATGGTCCTTAGGCCTTCTTCGTTTTCAAAGTACTTTTATTATTATTATTATTAGTTATTATTATTAGTGAGAGAAAAAGCAAAGGAGAGGGGCAAACGGAGAGAGAATATCTTAAGCAGGCTCCATGCTGAGCCGACACAGAGCTCAATGTGCGGCTCAATCCCATGACCCTGAGGTCATGACCTGGGCCAAAATCAACAGTAAGATACTCAACCAACTAAGCCAAGCAGGCACCCCTGGTTTTCAAAGTACAGTACTTTTACATAAGTTACACACACACACACACACACACACACACAGAGTAAATAAGGGCAGGGAATTGTCATTCCCATTTGACAGATGAGAAAAACTGAGGCCCAGAGCAATGATGTGATTGACACAAAGATGCACATCAGGGAAGCTGCAGTCCAGGGCCCTGACCATGATGTTGTATACAACTTGACCCCTCCAACTCCCAGAGCTTCCTATGGGCATGTCTGAGAGTTCCACACACACACCTCACCCCAGCCAGCGGATGCAGGAGCTCAGGTAAGGAGGATGTCAAGGAGGTGAGGAGAGATGGTTTTTCTGCCTTGGGAGTGGCTGGGGAAATGGCTTGGTCCAATGCAACAGCTCAGTCTGGATCACTTTTCTTTGGTGTGTGGTGCCCCCTGGTGTTCACTCTTATGAAATGCAGTTGATTATCTACGATAACTTTTTGGGAGTGCTCCCAGGCTTTGAAGATGAAGGAGGTGCCTGGGAGCTCTCTGACCACCCTCTGAGCAGGCTCCCTCCCAGCAGAGGTCATTATCCCTTAAAGACCAGAGTCTGTGTCCAGGTGGGTGGGTGAGGCCCACGCTGCTACTTCCAAAGTTTACCCATCCACACCTCGTGGGAACCCAAATTGGTACAGCTATCCTGAAAGCAGTTATTATATATACATATATGTGTGTGTGTGTGTGTGTGTGTGTGTGTGTGTGTGTATTTATATTTAAAACTCTTGATATAGATATATCAATGTTTTAAATGACATGTTCATTATATAATACTAAATCAAAAAATAGGACAAATGTATATAAAAATACTATCTACGTACACATCAAAGACAGACACAAATGGCAGCAATGAGTCTCTCTGCAGAGTAGAATTATGTTTTATTTTTATTTTTTAAGAATGTTAAAAATTTTCTGAATAGCATGTTTCACTTCTCTAAAGTTTTATAAAGTGGGGGGGCACCTGGGTGGCTCAGGCAGTTGAGCATCCGACTTCAGCTCAGGTCATGATCTCCCAGGTCACGAGCTTGAGCCCTGCGTCGGGCTCTGTGCTGTCAGCTCAGAGCCTGGAGCCTGCTTTGGATTCTGTGTTTCCGTCTCTCTCTGCCCCTCCCTTGCTCATGCTGTCTCTCTCTCTCTCAAAATAAACTGAAAAAATTAATTGAAAAATAAAGTTTTATAAAGGAAAAAATAAATAAATAAAGCCCTTTCCATCTGGTGTCCTGGCCCCGTTGCCTGCTGTGAGCTGGTCGGAATGTCCCCTCCAGAACGCTATTCCGTGACAATGGGCAAGTTGAAGACGTGTCCGCTGGTGGGAACACGTGTGCGTTCCAGTGGGGAGCTTCTGAACACGGTGCCTTAACCAAACATTTCAGAGCCTCGGCAGAGAGGGAGCGGATGGAAAGGGCAGAAGGGATTCCCTGGGGACCAAGAAAGCTTAGCTCTCAGAGAGAGGGATGTAGGGAAGCCAAGAGAAAGTTGATCACCAGGATCCTCAGGCAGAGAGGAATGAGGGCTACAGAGAGATGGTCTACGAATGTGCCCAGGACCAGAGAAGTGACTAGATACACCCAACACCCAAGGTCACACAGCAGAAGGTACAGGGCGTGTGTGGAGTTCAGATCACCTACCTCCAATTCCTGAGTTCTTCCCACACACCAGCAACCTGGAACTTCCAGGAAACTCCCATGGAAATGCAAATTAGCACAACAGTGACAAAACACTATTGGCAACAAATTAAGTTTGATGAGGTCACAGGTTGATCAGGATGTTGGGAGAAGGATCTGCTCATGCATCCTACTGGCAGGAGTTAGATTGGTGTGGCCACGTAGAGAGAAATTGCAGTGCCTGTTACATTTTTAAATGCATCCTATGACCCAGCAGATCCACATCACAATATTATCTACCCCAGAGAAACACCAGCCCGAGTGTAGACTGGTGGTATGCAGAGGTGATCACGGAGGCGTTTCGTCATCTTGAAAAAATTAAAAACCTTCTAAATATCCATCAACTGTAGAAGGATTAAATATGACACATCTGACCAATGGAAGACTTTAAGAAGTGGGGGGGAAAGGTCTCCATGTACCACACTGAAAATGCTCCATGGAATTTGACGACTGAAAACAGCCAGAAGCAAGTGGCAGGAGAGCATGAAACAATGTACATAAAACCACACAGACGGAGGCACAGGCTCATCTATTTTCCAGGGCTCCAGAGGCATGGACTTGATAATAGCAATGCCCTGGGGGTTGGGTGTGACGGGGGGGGGGGGGGGGAGAACATGTGAGAGGAAAGTGATTCCAACTATTGCTTGTGTCATCAAAAATTCACCATTAAAAACAGAGATTTGAGAAAAACCAAAAGTTAGAACGGGAGGGAGGCAGCCCCCCCCTCTGGAGCGCCCGCACGAGAACGGAGACTCCGCTGAGATGCAGAATGGGGGGTGGGGTGGGGAGCAGAGCCTCCCGCGCAGAGGTGCGTGGCTCCCGGGCACAGGTTCCCGCGGCCGCCCCCGCTTTCCCAGAAGCAGCGGGCGGGCCTGCGGGTCCCGGCAGGTGCCCGGCCGTCTCCGCAAGCCCGGCGGTCAGCACACCTGGGAGCCGCTGGGCGCCTGGGGGCCTTCCCAGGCCTGGCAGTTGGAGACGGAGGCAGGTTTGGAAAGAGCCGGGCTACTCTTACGGGAAAGAGAGAAGGGGTTCCCTGCCAGCGCGCCCCGCCCCTCCGCTCCCCAGCCTCTGCGTCCCCGCCCCCTTCCCCCCTCCTCAGTCCACCTCGGGTCTGGGCCCAGAGGGAGCAGCAGGGGCGGCTGAGACTTGAAAGGAAGGAGGGGGCTTGCCCAAGGCGAAGGGCTGTGCCTGGATGGGAAATCAATCAATCCTAGGCTCTTTTCAGGCTCCCATATGCCCCTAGGTTCAAATCCCAGCTCCGCCTGTCTGTGCCCTTAGCGACCCCCCCCTCAATGGAGATATAATTAGCCTACTAAAAAATTCACCCTTTACAAGTGTAGTGTTTGGGGCGCCTGGGTGGCTCAGTCGGTTAGGTGCCAGACTTCGGCTCAGGTCATGATCTCACAGTTCATGAGTTGGAGCCCCGCGTCGGGCTCTGTGCTGACAGCTCAGAGCCTGGAGCCTGCTTCGGATGGATTCTGTGTCTCCCTCTCTCTCTGCCCCTCCCCTGCTCATTCTCATTCTCTCCCTCTCTCAAAAACAAACATTAAAAACCATTTTTAAAGAAGTGTACAATGGTTAATATAGTCACAAAGTCATGCAGCCATCACCACTATCGAATCCCAGAACATTTTCATCACCAGGAAAACAAACCCCATACATACCAACAGTCACTCCCCCATTTTACTCACCCCCCCACAGCCCCCATTCCCTGGCAACCATTACCCTGGGTGGCTGTAGATCTGCCTATCCTGGGCATTTCACATAAACGGGATGATAGACTAGCTGGCCTTGTGTGCCGGCTTCTTTGGCTTCTTTCACTTAGCATAATGCTTTCAAAGTTCACTCATGTGTCAGTCCTTCACTAATTGTTTTGCTAAACAGTACCGCATCGCGTGGATATAGCACTTTTGTTTATCCACTCACTAGCTGACGGACAGTGGGGTTACTACCACTTGGGGGCTATTATTAATAATACTGTTATGAACATTCATGTAGTTTTTGTTTTTGAATGTTTATTTATTTATTTTGAGAGAGAGGGAGAGCCATCCAGCACGGAGAGAAGCAGAGAGAGACAGAGACAGAGACAGAGAGAGAGACAGAAAGAATCCAAAGCAGGCTCTGTGCTGTCAGTGAAGAGCTCGACGCAGGGCTCCATTTCATGAACTGGGAGATCATAATCTCAGCTGAAATCAAGAGTCGGACGCTTAGGGATGCCTGGGTGGCTTAGTCGGTTAAGCGTCCGACTTTCGCTTAGGTCATGATCTCGCGGTTCGTGGGTTCGAGCCCCACGTCGGGCTCTGTGCTGACTGCCAGCTCAGAGCCTAGAGCCTGTTTCAGAGTCTATGACTCCCTCTCTCTCTGACCCTCCCCTGCTCATGCTCTCTCTCTCTCTCTCTCTCTCTCTCTCCTGGAAATAAATAAAACATTAAAAAAAAAAAAAAAAGAGTCGGATGCTTAACCGACTGAGCCACCCAGGCGCCCCTGTTTTTTGTTTTTGAGACAGAGAGAGAGCGCGCATGGGAGAGAGAGCAGAAGGCAGAAGGAGAGAGAGAGTCTTAAGCAGGCCTCCTTGCCCAGCGCAGAGCCTGACGCAGGTCTTCATTTCATGACTTGACCCTGAGATCATGACCTGAGCCAAACTCAAGAGTTGGATGCTTAACCGACTGAGACACCCAGGCGCCCCCTCATAAGTAGTTCTTAAGTGGACATGTTTTCAGTTCTCTTGGGTCTGTACCTAGCAGTGGAATTGCCAGCCCATATGGTCGTTCTCGGTTTCACTGTTTGAGAATCAACCTTTCCTCCAGCACCCTACCCTCTTACATTCCCACCAGCTCCATTTCTTAACCTCCCTGAACCTCAGTTTCTCCTTGGCAAAGCTTCAGTATCGAAATCTTGATACTTACCTTATAGATGAGCTGTAAGAATTGGAAGAGATAAAGTATCAAAAGCAGTTAGCACATAGTAGGTATTCAAAATCTGTAGGATTTAGAGCCTTTTCTTTTGGTTGTCTTCAAAGCTGACTGGGCATCTGCTCTTCATTATCCCCACTTCTTGACCTACTTCTTGAAATTTCCTTGAATTAACTTTACTGTGGAGCACAATGTCTGCTGTCTTCTCTCCCTCTCTTTGTCACACACAAGTACACACAACATTTAATAGGGACCTAACTTCAAGGTAAATAGAAAGGTCATATTTCCCCCACCCCACATCATGCTGTGTTAGAGCTGAAATCAACCCCTACAGTGGTTCTCAACCTGTGGGACCCAGACCAGCAGCACCTGAGAAGTTGTTAAATACCATCACTTGGGGGTTAGGGTTTCAACATCCGAATTTGGGGGATTACAGTACCCTCATCTGTAAACTGGGAAGAGTGCACAACTACTCCTACAGTGGCCACTATTCTGCATTAAAGGCTGAGTGAGGGCTGAATCCCGGGCCTCCTGATTTCCAGGCTGGCGCTCTCATCCCCGGGAACTTGGTGGTCACCCCTACACCACCTGATAGAAGAAGCCGGAGAACTTGACGTCCGGAAGGTCGACATGGAGAGGAGGACTTTGTCTTGTTCTGTGAGGCCCGAAAATGAAGAGCTGGATGATCAGGGAAGTTACAAGGAGGTAGGTCAATTTAAGGAAGACGTCCCTAGCTCAAATTGTTCAGAAACAGCACTGGCAGCTTCAAAGAACCGGGAGGGCTCCTCCACGGAACATTCCAGGCAGCACCTGGACGCCCATCTTTCCAAGATGTTGGAGAGGAGAGACTGCCAGGACAGGAAGTTGGCGTGGGCGATCTCTGAGGTCTCCTCATATGTAACCCGCTGTAGTGTCCACGGGTGGTTTGTCTCGCTGCACCCATTCTTTGGGGAGACACCCTTCCTGTGCCGCTCAGGGCAGAAGGAGCTGTCAATCAAGGTGCTCTGTTCAGACCCTCCCACTCCAGAGGAGGGCCTACTACCCAGACTGGCCAATTAGAGTATCCCATCCTCCCTGACGACGCCGATTGGCTCAGGGAATGGCAGGGGAACAAGCCAGGCCAATCAGAATCTTTCCCTGCTAGAGCTGACCCTTAGCCACACCTTGAATTTTCCCAAACTGGGGAGTTTGCCGAATTCCTTTTTCTCTCCGGGCAGTCTGGGGTTTCTGTTCTTGCCACTGATAAAGTTTTAAGGATACTATATAAAAATAGGCCTTGTTGCCCCTGGGTTGGAGCTTGCTACCCACCCCCACCCTCAGTAGTAAGAAAAATAACACTCCAAATAGTGGGTGCCTGGCATGTTCAGTCAGTAGAGCACCGGGCTCTTGTTCTTGGGTCCTGAGTTCGAGCCCCACGTTAGGGGTGGAGATTACACAAACAACAACAACAACAAAAACACCCCAATAGTTTAAAAATATTTAAAATCTTTAGTCTCTTGGGGGGGGGGGGGGGAATGCCACAAGGGACTCCAGTTCTAACACAGAACAAAACGTTCCAAAATCCATTTTTCTCCACCTCTCCCTTCATATATCTCCTATTTACAGCCTCTGGTCCCTAAACTTGCTCCTTTCTTCTCCAAAAGCCTAAGCCCCAGTTGGCTCTTAACTTTTTCCTCCTCCTCTGCCTTTTCCAGTGTCTATTGGTCCAGTCTTGCTGGGCCCCTTGCTGGCCCAGGCAGGAGAGGGAGAGGCTGGGAATCCTCGTACAGCAATGTGGTTTTATACACGTTATTCTCAGAGTCGGTGGAAGAGGCAGGATTATAAAATTCCACCTGTGAGCGGAGACATGACTGTGAGGTCAAACTTTCAAAAGAGATACTGTGGTCTTTGAAGTATGAGTCAATGTCAAGTTCAGCTTAGTAAATATTTAGCGAGTGGCTTCCGTGTGCCAGCCAAGAACCAGCAGGGAAGCTGGGGTGTTTGGACCATACAGAACTGTGTTTGACTGAGCCCCAGATGGTGACGGTGTGTAGCCCTTATATATCCTGTGCCAGGGCCTGAGGATGTATTCAGGAAGAGAGAGATTCAAGGCACAAATATGATTTCTGTGAAATGGTGATTAAGAAAGAAGGAGACATATATGGGGATTGACAAATCAGTCAGGAAGTGAAGAAAGCGCCCTGAGAACATGACATAGGAGCTGAGACAGGAAGCAGGCACAGGAGCTGGCTAGGAGATAAGGGGGAAGAGAAACCTGGGAAGGGAAAAGCCCAGGAGGTGAGAGAGAGAGAGAGAGAGAGAGAGAGAGACAGACAGACAGACAGACAGGAGGGAGGGGAAGAGAGGGAGAGAAAGAGAGAGAGAGAGAAGAGGGGAGAGAAACCAGTAGGATGCTCCCTGTGGCTGCAGCCTGGAGAACTGAGAAAGGGTCAAAGGCAAGGTGGAGGCCACGTTGTAAACTTTGTGTGTAAGAGATCTTGAGCCTCAGGCCGTGGAACTTACGCCTCATTCGCCACATAGGGCTTTGTTCTGACTACGGAGAAGCTGGGTGATGGCTCTTTGACAGTATAGAAAAACAGGCCTATGTAGGCTCAGAAGAACCAATTGGGTGCATTTCTTCACAACTCCATGTTCAGTGACTCACACTGAAATTGACTGTCATGGAGAGAGTCACACCACAGAAACTGACAGGGGCTACCAAGCAGGGCTTCCTTCCACCCTACCCGCCTCCCCCTCCCCCCCGACCCACTTGTTAAACATTTTCCACCTGACCTCAAAGTTTAGTGCTGTGATCTTTGCAAATCAGGAAGTGATCAAGATCGGGGAACTTTATTTTTGTCTGCCCTTAGCCATCTGGAGGATAAATAGGAGAAGTTGAAACCTACAGGCTTTGAGGAGAGCCAGACCAAGGTTCAAATCCCAGCCCCATCACTAGTTAGATGTGTGACCCTGGGTAAGCAATGTAACCTCTCAGAGTTCCATCTGTTAAAAGGGATACTAATGCCCACCTCGTGGGGTTGTTGTGAGGATTAAACACTATAATATATGTAAACTGCAGAAGCTGCTGCATAACAAGGATTCAAATATATATTAATGGTATTGAATGGCATTTTAGATAGAGAATATATTCATTTTATACCAGAATGGATTTATGAGCAGTATTGGAGATAGTGGAAAGCGACTGAAGCAGCACACGGAGGAGTGGTGTAGACGCTAGGCTGTGGTAACTGGCTGAGATTTTTCTGACCTGCATCCAAGAGGACTTCCTTTAAGGTTTTGAGAGACACAACTAGCCTGACCTTTGTGGTCACAAAACGTTCTTTCGTGTTGATCCAGCAAGGCATCCAGACGCACTATTTCTTACCTTGAGATTACAGGATGGGGGGGAACACGGGGGGAGAACAAGCCTCAGGTACCATTGGGAGCGTCTGGGTGGCTTGGTCAGTTAAGCGTCTGACTCTTGATCTCAGCTCAGGCCTTGATCTCAGGGTTGTGAGTTCAGGCCCCATGCTGGGCTCTGTGCTGGGCATGAAGCCTACTTAAAAACAAAACAAAAAACGGGTGCCAGATTCAGAAGAGCCGAGTGGGTGGAGCAGGTGGCAGATAAAGACCTTTCCCCAGTGTCCTGTCCCCACTGCCAGCCTGCTCCCAGCTCACTGGGATTCTGGGCCTGAAAGAGCTGCAGTTGGTTGAATGAAGACACAATTTCTGACTCTAAAGGAGATTCGAAGATATGTCAGGGGTCTTCCATCTTTCTTGGCTTTGAGGCCCAAACAAGGTCCCTGTAAGCCCCTGTCAGATAGTGCTGATCGAGGGACATCTGGGTGGCTCAGTCAGTTAAGCGTCTGACTCTTCATTTTGGCTCAAGTCATGGTCCCACAGTTTGTGGAATTGAGCCCCATGTCAAACTCAATACTGAGAGCACAGAGCCTGCTTGGGGTTCTCTCTCTCTCTCTCTCTCTCTCTCTCTTCCCCCCCCCATCACCCACTCTCTGTCTCTCAAAATAAATAAATACACTTTTTAAAAATTGGGGCGCCTGGGTGGTTCAGTCGGTTGAGCATCCGGCTTCAGCTCAGGTTTTGATCTCACGGTTCATGGGTTTGGGCCCGCATTGGACTCTGTGCTGACAGCTCAGAGCCTGGAGCCTCATTCAGATTCTGTGTCTCCTTCTCTCTCTGCCCCTCCCCTGTTCGTGCTCTGTCTCTCTCTGTTAGTAGTAAATAAATGTAAAAAAAACTTTTAAAAAATAATAAAAATAAATTAAAAAATTAAAAAATAGTGCTGATTGAGCTGAAATCATAGATGAAAATCTCAGAAGCATCCTGAAATTCCTGATTGTTTTCACCCAGGGCCAAACTCAGGACAACTTTTAGATTCACCAAGTTCTGTGAAAATGCATTCTCTCAACCAAGAACTGCAGGGGTGCAGGTTGAGAGCCGGCAACTGCAACTGGATTCTCTGTGCTCTGTATCTGCTCCTCGTCCACCGGCTTCATCACAGCTGAAGCGGTCCCTCAGCCTGTCACTGACACCCACAGAGTGGGCAAAGCAATCACCCAAAGGCAGTGCAGCCATGGAGTCAGGTCGGGAGCTGAATCCAGAACCTAGCACCCGTATAAGCTCTCTGGGTCTGCAGAATGGCAGTTTCCTCTTCTGTCAAGAGGAGGCAATACCTCCTTGGAAGTCCTGGGAAATAGAAAAAATGAAAAGAGGGGCACCTGAGTGGCTCAGTCCGTTGAGTGTCCGACTTTGGCTCAGGTAATGATCTCACGGTTTGTGGGTTTGAGTCCCGAGTCAGACTCTGTGCTGACAGCTCAGATCCTGGAGCCTGTTAACGATTCTGTGTCTCCTCTCTCTGCCCCTCCCCTGCTCACTCTCTGTCTTACTCTGTCTCTGAAATATAAATAAATGTAAAAATAATTTTTTAAAGAAAAAATGAAAAGAGAAAGAAAAAAATAACATTTAATAAAGGGAGAGCAATGATTACTTTTAGAGTCTTGTTGGAAAAGCAATACATACAAATTATTGAAAAACTGAGAAACTAAACATGAGCAGAAAGAAACTTTAAAAATATATGTATTATATATAATATATATATTTTGTATTGTATTGTATATATATACAATATATAATATTGTATATTATGTTATATAATCTATAATATATAATTATATACATTAAATATAATAATTATATATAATACAATATTATATATAATGTATACTATTATAGATTATATAACATATAATGTATACTATTAAATTATAAATTATGTTATATAATTTATACTATATTATATATAATACATATACATGTAATACACATATAATATATGTATACATTATAATATGTATATAGTATGTAGATATATGTATGTATTATATGTATTTATATCCTCACCACCCAGAAATTAACAACCACGAACATATCGGTGTATATCCTCGATCTGTTTATCCATACCTATGGGCACACATTTTTTTTTTAATGGGACCATGTTTTGCTACTTGCTTTTCTGCTGCTTGAGCACCCGTTGCAAACATCGCCGAGACCTTACATATCCCTAGACAACATCTTTTTTAATGACCGTAGACAATTCTCCGGTGAGGCTGTTTCCACTACGTGGAAGCTATTCCTGTCCGGGTAACTGGTAAACACACCCTAGGCTTTGGTGTCAGAGACGGCAGCTTTCTCCGGAATAAGTCCATTAGCTCTTGAGGCTGCCATCGCCTTGTGAAGAATGAAGAGAATAACAGGACTGACCCACCAGATCCTCGGAGGGATTAAAGAAGATAATGTGTGGGAAGTGCTTGGCTTAGTACCCGGTTTACAGAACACGCTCGGACACCGCCAGTGGTATCTGGGGCTGTGTTGTCAAACTGGCCCTGAACTCCAGGTCCCGTTTGACTTGGTTCCCGTAGTGGAATCCCGAAGTGTGGTCATTGGTAATCAACAGCTCTCCTCCCCTTCCCTCACTTCGGGTATGGAGATGCTGATCCCCCACCCGCACCCCCCAGGATGGGGCAGAACGCGCGGAAACGCAGACCCTGAGCGGGTAGCAGCGGTCTGTGCACGGGGGTGGTGCGGGGAGCCGGCGGGCGGCCCGCTGCGCTCGCGGCTGCGGGGCTGCCCCGGGGAAAGCCCCCGCCGGAGTCCCGGCCGGCAGGGGCGGGGCCCGCCGCTCGGCCGCCCATTGGCTGCCGTCCGCAACCACCTGCCGGGCAGTGGGCCGAGGAGCTGCCGCCGGGACTTGGGCGCGCCGGGCGGGCGGCGCGGGAGCCGGCCTGGCGGGCCTCGGCCGGTGGGTGCCCCTGCTCCTGTGCCTGCTGCAGTCCACTCGAGGTAAGGGCGGGGGGCGGCGGGGCGGGCGGGGGGCGGCGGGGCTCCTGTCCCGCGCGGCGGAGCTTCGGGAAGGAGGGATGCGGCCTCAGCCGGCCGGCAGCCAGCGGAGCGAATGCCAATCGGCCCTGCCCACCCACCCGCCACCCGTTTTCTTCTAAACCGGGGCTTGGAACCCAACAGACCCGAGTCTTTGAAATTCCTTTCCGGGAGGAAACGGATCCAGATTTTTATTTTTATTTTATTTTATTTTATTTTATTTTATTTTATTTTATTTTATTTTATTTTATTCTTTTTGGGTCGGATCCAGATTTTTAATGCCCATTCAGCTCCAGGTGAACAGGAAAAGACAGTGGCAGTTTGAAAAGCAGCCGCACTGATTTCTGGAGTGCTGTTTGTGGTTTCCTGAAAGCACTGTCCTCTGCATTCACAGGACACTAGATCCGAGCTACCAGGGAAAGTCAGACGGTTTCAGAAGGTTCCACCCAGACCTGAGGGGAGGGAGCTCTGGCTTAGTGTGTGTGCTGCTGTTACTCTAAAGCCACTTTCCCACCGCCCCTGAGCTCATAAGGTGGCAAGATGCAAAAGACCCCAGGGTGGGACCCAACCACCAATCAGGAGAAGGTCCTAATATTGCCAACAGTGTTAGACTTCCTCCTCTTAGGCTAACAACTTAAGACCAAGAAGGGCCCTTGGGCATCATCTAATACTAATAATCTAATACTAATACTTCCTTGTGTTGGGCACATTACCCTATTTAAGCGAAACAACCCAACCCTGTTATGAGGTAGGTTCCATTTTCTCCCTTTTCAGATGGGGACGCCGAGGCTCAGAGCAATTAGGGGACTTGCCCAAGAAGGAGAGCATAGGTGAGACACATGGAAGAGAAGACTAAGGCTGAAGCAAGCACAGCCAGCTTTGGCGGTGGGGTGGGCAGCTAGATCAGTACCGCCCATCCACCTGGGTCAGCTCAGGGATGCCCCGGCCCCTGGCACTTCTGCCTCAATGACAGCTGTCACAGCTGGTAAGGGACAGTGTGTCTGTGTGTATGTTGAGGGGTGGGGGTCCTCTGTCCCCCTGTTTCACTGTCAAACTCAATAGTTTTGCTATCTGGACCTAGCTCTACTTTTACCTAAAGAAATATTTAATATGCCCAATACAAACTGTAGTATGCGATGGTTTAGGGTGAAGGTCAGCCAGATCCAGGGTCAGATCCTGGCTCCCACACAAACTGGCTGTGTGGCCCTAGGCATATTACTTACCACCGGTCTGTGAGTCTAGTGGCCCTCCACAGAAGAATGACACCTACCCCATAGGGTGGTTTGTCCTGGGGATTGAATGAGGCATTGTGTACAAAGTGCCAAACCAGCGCCTCCCACACTTTGAAGGCTCAGTAAGTAAGGTAACACCTCTAGCTGCTGTTTCTCCACTGGGGCCAAATTCAGACTTTGGGCCTGTGCTGCCCACAAGATACCTTATGAGCTGATTGCAGATAGACTTTGGCTTCTGCTGGTCACCTGCTAGAAATCTGGGAACAATGATAACATCTGCACCCCAGTGACCCAGTTCCTACCAAAGGTCACAGGATGAGGTAGAATCAGGCACCCACATTTGGGGACCAGGAGCGGGGAGCCATGCTGACAGCCATAAGTACAACCGGCCTGAACCCTGATGCCGTTCTGTAACCTGTATGGATTTCCATCAGGGCCCATGTGACACTTCAGGGCCCTGAATTCTCCCTGGGACCATGAGCTTCTAAAGAGCAGGAATAGAATTGTGTTCCTCTTTGAGACTCCCAACATGGATGTCATCAGCCAACAGTGGTCCATAGATGTGGGAAGAATAAAGCTGAACAGGTCCCATGAAAACCTAGAGGAGGAAGTGTGATCAGGAGCTCAGCATGTGGAGTTGGCTAGGCCTGGATGTGAATTCTGATTCTACAACTTAGCACCTCAGAAGACATCTGTTTCCTCATCTGTAATGTGATGGTCACAGTTAGTACCCACATCCTGGGGACGTGGGGAGGATTGAAAGAAAATGCAACTAACATACTTCACATAGTTAGGGCACAAAACACATTAGCTGCTATCATCATCACCATCATCATCACTACCATCATCACCATCATCATCACTACCATTTCTTAGAGATGTCAGGGAAGACTCCCTGAGGGAAGTGACTTTTGAATCAAGTCTTTAAAGGATTCGATGGTGGGGAAAAAAAAAATAGAAGGTGAACACAGTCAAAGACCCCTGGGTTCAGAGATACCCAAGAGAATCATTGGCTTGAGAAGGACCAGAAACAAGATTGGCTGCAGCCTGGAGCTCGCTAGGGAGTTAGAGGGGAGAGGTCGACAAGATGGCCTCTTATGTACCTCAATAAGGAGCGTGGACATTATTCTAAGGGCAAGGGAAGGACGTAGAACTGGGAAGAGGTGTCATCAGGTGTCTATTTCAGAAGATGAGGGTCAGCCGCGAGGAAGGGGTGCCGAGGAGGGGAAGGAGAAGCCAGTGAGGGGTGGTCAGGGAAAGTGCCACTGATACAGTGATATCTGAGCAGAGATGTGAAGGAAGCAAAGGAGCAAGCCTGCTAGAGATCCAGGGGAGAATAGCCTAGAAAGAGGGAGCAGCTTGTGGAAAGGCCTGGAGGAGGAGCACGCCTGGCATATTCCAGAAACAGCAGAAAAGCCAGCGTGGCTGGAGAGCAGAGAGCATGGGCAGAGCAGTGGGTGCGATTAGATAGGTCTTGCGGAGGAGTATAAAGACTTTGGACTTAACCTTGAATGAAGTGAAAGCCAGTGGAGGGTTGAAAGCAGAAGAACCACAGGATCTGACTTCTGTTTTAACCCTTGCTGCTCTGTGGAGCTTGGAAGCAGTGAGACCAGTTGGGAGGCCTTTGGAATAATACAAATTATCACAATACTCAGCAAATATTTATTATGTATCTACTCTGAGCCAGGGACCGTTGCAGGCAGGCTCTGGGGCCATGGCTAAGAACAGAGCTGAGCCCCTGTTCCTGAGCCCCTCAAGGCTGGTCCCTCCTGGAGTCCAGGAGACCCAGTGGATGGCTCATGTCCAGTGGTGTGCCTCGAAACCCTCATGTGCCGGGGTGGGGCGGGAGCTCCCTGTCATGGCACAGATGAGCCCCTGAGGCTGGGGGGTGGGGTTTGGTGGCAGGGGACTTCAGTACAGCCAGTCAGTGGCAAGGCCGTGATTGGAATCCTGACCCTGGGATCCCAGCCCCCATCATGTCCCCTGTGCTTCGGCGACCCCAGTCGCCTCCTGGTTCTCAAACTCAGCAAGCACCTAACTGCCCAGCATGCCACCCTTCAGCTCCAAATGGCCCATGTCAAGAGTAGCGAGGAGCTCTGGGCTTCAGGACCTCTCTCTCTCTCCCACAGGGAAGCCCCATCTGGCCCCTCCTCAGAACGTGACTCTGCTCTCCCGGAATTTCAGTGTGTACCTGACATGGCTCCCAGGGCCTGGCTACTCCCAGAATGTGACCTACTTTGTGGCCTATCAAAGGTAGAGGCGAGCCTCCAGTCTGGTGTTTGGGGAGACCGAGGAGGTGGGCAGAGGCCGGAGGGGCTGGAGTGGGTCTGCTGCTGGGTGTGGCCAGCCTCCTGGCTCCCTGTGTCCTAGGGGAGATAGCACAGGGCAGGTATCCGTAGAGAACGAGATAAAGGCCTGGTGGTGAGAATGATGTCAACTGGGGCACAGGGCCCAGGTGATGGGCCTGCAGGGGGTGGGGACAGTCTTTGATAAGAGTCAGAACAGGGCCTGAGTAGAGCTACGGGAGTCCAGTGGTAGAATTCTCTAGGGCCTGGAGGAGGAGGTGCTTGGGGTCATGGCAGCTGACTGGGGGGGGGGGGGGGGGGGGGGGGGGGGGCGGACATGTCTTCTGAGATCCCGTGTTAGACATCGCTCGATGACCTCCCTTCCCCCTTTGATACTTGTCCTACCCAACGAGCAGTCCAGGCAGCCACTGTGAAGCCAGAGGAATGTGAAAGTGGAAGCAGATTTACCATCTTTGCACATAGATGGGAATCACTTGAGGCTCTTTCCTAGGTGGGTAGGAAGATAAAGGCAGATAGTCAGGAGAACTCCTCTAGGCTCAGGGAGGAGGAGGAAGCAGGAAGGGGAGGGAAGTGCTGTGGACGCAGGACCCACCTGCGCCAGGCTGAGCGCTAAGGTCTTGCACGAATAGTTCACTTCTTGCTCCCCAGATCACCAGGCAAGCACTGCATTGCCCCCCATTTTAAAGGCAAGGAAGCTGAGCTCAGAGAGGCACCATGATTTGCCCAAGGAAGCCAAGGATGGAGCCAGGAAAAAAAAAAGCCAAGTCTGTCTGACCCCGAAGCTTGTGTGCTTCCTGTTCTGTCATGGACCCTCCTTCTGTAGCATCCAGACATGATGCTACATCGCTACATCCAGGCAGTGATGGGGGCCTGCCTCGGAAAAGGGCACATGGGCCAGCGAGCTTTCAAAAGAAAGAACTGTACAGGGGCGCCTGGGTGGCTCAGTCAGTTAAGCATTCGACTCCTGGTTTCAGCTCAGGTCATGAGTTTGGCTCAGGTTTGTGAGTTCGAGCCCCACATTGGGCTCCAAGCTGGCAGCGCAGAGACTGCTTTCGATCCTCTCTCTCCCCCTCTCTCCGCCTCTCCCCTGCTCATGTGCTCTCTCTCTCTCTCAAAATAAGTAAATAAACTTAAAAAAGAAAAGAACTGTATGGAAATGTATCGGGAGGCAGAAAACACGTAACAGGTGCTGTGTGCTTGCTACGTGTCAGGCACTACGTCTGCACATGAAATGTTGTTATTCACACGCAGCCCTGGGAGGAGAGAGCAGCCACGCCCCTCTGCACAAGTGTTTTCCGCCAAAAGTCACATAGCTGGGAATAGTGGAGCCAGTATAAACTGATCAGAGTTGAAAGTCCATCCTCTGGACTTTATGATGTTTTCCTTCCCTTTTACACTTTTTAAACACCTGTGAGGATTCTAAAATGATGATATTTTAATTGTATTATTTTTTTCATTTATCAGTTGGATTTATTTCACAAAGAGATGCTTCCTCTCCTATAGTATTTGATATTCAGTGGTACTATTCAGGTTGGCAAGACAGGACAAATGCTTCATTTTTTTTTTCTCGAGTTTTCAAGATCATGAATTAGTTCCCTGTCATCTCCCTAAGATGATCAATTTAATTATCATTATGAACTCGAGTACATAAATATAATACTTGATGGTTTCAATCCATTGTAACTTGTCTACTCGTTAAAGCTTGAATTGTCCCCTCTCTGGCCAGCCAAAATCTTTTCACATTGGCTCCTGAGTCCTTTTTTTAATAAATTCTTTTAATGTTTATTTATTTATTTATTTTAGTAGTTTATTGTCAAGTTGGTTTCCATATAACACCCAGTGCTCATCCCCACAAGTGCCCTCCCCCATGCCCATCACCCCTTTCCCGTCCCCCACCCCCATCAGTCCTCAGTTTGTTCTCAGCATTCAAGAGTCTCTCATGGTTTGCTTCCCTCCCTCTCCTCTACTATTTTTCCCCTTCTTCTCCCCCATGGTCCTCTGTTAAGTTCCTCCTAATCCTCCTATACGTGCAAACATATGGTAACTGTCCTTTTCTGCCTGACTTATTTCGCTCAGCATAACACCCTCTAGTTCCATCCATGTTGCTACACATGGCCAGATTTTGTTCTTTCTCACTGCCATGTAGTATTCCATTGTATAGACAAACCACATCTTCTTGATCCATTCATCAGTTGATGGACACTTAGGCTCTTTCCATGATTTGGCTATTGTTGAGAGTGCTGCTATGAACATTGGGGTACATGTGCCCCTATGTATCAGCACTACTGTATCCCTTGGGTAAATTCCTAGCAGTGCTATTGCTGGGTCATAGGGGAGTTCCATTGTTAATTTTTTGAGGAATCTCCACACTGTTTTCCAGAGGGGCTGCACCAGTTTACTTTCCCACCAACAGTGTAGGAGGGTGCCTGTTTCTCCACATCCTCGTCATCATCTATATATATAATCTCCTGATTTGTTCATTTTAGCCACTCTGATCGGCATGAGGTGGTATCTCAGTGTGGTTTTGATTTGTATTTCCCTGATGATGAGGGACACTGAGCATCGTTTCGTGTGTCTGTTGGCCATCTGGATGTCCTCTTTGGAGAAGTGTCTGTTCATGTCTTCTGCCCATTTCTTCATTGGATTATTTATTTTTCGGGTGTGGAGTTTGGTGAGTTCCTTATAGATTTTGGATACTAGCCCTTTATCTGATATGTCATTTGCAACTATCTTTTCCCATTCCATCAGTTGCCTATTAGTTTTATTGATTGTTTCCTTTGCAGTGCAGAAACTTTTAATCTTGATGAATCCCAATAGTTCATTTTTGCTCTTGATTCCCTTGCCTTTGGGGATGTGTCAAGTAAAAAATTGCTGCAGTTGAGGTCAAGGAGGTTGTTTTCTGCTTTCTCTTCTAGGATTTTGATGGTTTCCTGTCTCATATTCAGGTCCATTATCCATTTTGAGTTTATTTTTGTGTATGGTGTGAGAAAATGATCTAGTGTCATTCTTCTGCATGTTGCTGTCCAGTTCTCCCAGCACCATCTGTTAAAGAGGCTGTCTTTTTTCCATTGGATACTCTTTCCTGCTTTGTCAAAGATTAATTATTTGGCCGTACATTTGTGGGTCCAATTCTGAGTTCTCTATTCTATTCCATTGGTCTATGTGTCTGTTTTTGTGCCATCATGTTTATTTATTTTTGAGTGAGAGCCAGAGCACAGGTTGGGGAGGGTCAGAGAGAGGGAGACACAAAATCTAAAGCAGGGTCCAGGCTCTGAGATCATGACCTGAGCCAAAGTCAGACGCTCAACCGACTGAGCCACCCAGGTGTCCTAGCTCCTGAGTCCTTTTAATTTGACTCTAGTAGTTTTGATTTCTTTCTTGCTGTTATAATAAGATGTCCCAAGCCCATTTGCACAATTCTGGACCTAAAACCGGAATCAGCCGTTTGTCCATTTGGTAGAAAATGGTTTTAAAGGACACAATTGTATGCCAACTATGCTGATCACTACTTAGTTATTGCTTTAGATCTTCTCAGTGAGGGTGAGATGGGTAGAGAGATAGATAACTATAATTCCACCTGTTCCTGGCTTCTGCTGACTTGGCTGACATGACAATGAGTCCCATCCATGATCTCCTTATGAAATGATTTTTCAGCCACACCCGTGGTATTCCTTCTAAAACATACTTTCTAACTTTTTGCCATATGTCTAGGCTGAGAATTTTCTAGTTCTGGTTCCTTTTTGCGTAACATTCCTTTCTATGTACCTGTCTCCTCTCCCCTTTTACCATAAGCAGTAAGGAGAAATCAGGTCAGTTAGGTCATATCTTCAACACTTTGCTTAGGAATCTCCTCAGCTGGGGCGCCTGGCTGTCTCAGTCAGTTGAGCGTCAGACTCTTGATTTCTGCTCAGGTCATGATCCCAGGGCTGTGGGATCAAACCCCGCTTTGGGCTCTGCACTGAGCGTGGATCCTACTTAAGATTCTCTCTCTCCCTCCTTCCCTCTCCCTCCCTCTACCCCTTTCTTGCTCCTGCTCTCTCTGAAAAGAAAGGAAGGAAGGAAGGAAGAAAGGAAGGAAGGAAGGAAGGAAGGAAGGAAGGAAGGAAGGAAGAAAGAAAGAAAGAAAGAAAGAAAGAAAGAAAGAAAGAAAGAAAGAAAGAAAGAAAGAAAAGAAAGAAAAGCTCTCCTCAGCTAAATATCTAACTTCATCACTTTTAACTCCTATTTCCCACAAAACACCAAAACACAATTCAGCCAAGTCTTTGCCACTCTATGACAAGGATTGCCTTTCCCCTCGTTTCCGGTAGACCTTCCTCCTTCGCACCCGAGCTCTCCCCAGGACCACCTTTGGCTCCATAGTCCTACCCATGGTCTCTTTAAGGCACTCCAGGCATTTTCTAGCACACAGCTGAAAACCCTTCCCTCCTCTACCCAATCCCCAGGGGCGAATCCACTTCCACATTTTTAGCTGTTTCTTACATTAGCAGCTGATTTCTGGTACCACAATCTGTGTTAGTCTGCTAGGGCTACCATGACAAAATGCCACAGCCTGGGTGGCTTAAACAACGGAGATTTATTTTCTCTCAGTTCTGGAGGCTGGAAGTCCAAGGTCAAGGTGTCAGCAGGTTTACTTTCTCCTGAAGTGTCTCTCCTTGGCCGTGGAAAATGGTCACCTTTTCTCTAATGCCTGGTAGCCTTTTCTCTTCTTTAAAGAACATAAGTCGGGGGCGCCTGGGTGGCTCAGTCAGTTAAGCGTCTGACTTCAGGTCATGATCTCATGGTTTGTGGGTTCGAGCCCCGTGTCGGGCTCTGTGCTGACAGCTAGCTCAGAGCCTGGAGCCTGCTTCAGATTCTATGTCTCCCTCTCTCTCTGTCCCTCCCCCACTCACACTCTGTCTCTTAAAACTAAATAAACATTAAAAATTTTTTTTAAAAAAGCTGTATGTCCTTTTGGTTTAGGGTCCCACCCATATGACTGCATTCAATCCTAATTACCTTTTTAAAGGTCCCATCTCCAAGGGCCTACACAGTCATAGGCGGTTAGGGCTTAAGCATTTGAATTTGGGGGAATGCAGTTTAGTCCATAATATCTAAAAACAGAATCTCATCAAATTTAAGACTTCTACTCTTAAAAAAAAAAAAAAAAAACTTGAAGAAAATGAAAAAAAGCCAGCCACTGAGAAAAAAAAAAAATATTTACAATATGTACACTGGAAAAGGACTAGTATCCAAAATAGATAAAGAACTCCTGCATCTCAGCAATAAGACAAAACACCTGAAAAGACTGGAATAGGCACTTCACAAAAGAAGGTACACAAGTGGCCAATAAGCATAGGAAAAGATGTTCAACAACCCTACTCATTAGGGAAAAAGGCAAATTAAAGCTACAATGGAATGCAACCACACACCAACTAGAATGGCTAAAATTAAAGGGACTGACAATATTAAGTGTCGACAAGCATGTGAAGAAACCAGAACTCTCCTACATTGTTGGTGGGAACGTACAGTCACTTTGGAAATCGGCTTCACAGTTCCTTGTCAAGTTTCCCCTACCATTACCAAATCTCCCAGATTCTACTCCTAAAGCTTTATTTAAAGAGAAATGAAAGCATGTCCATACAAACACTTGTACATGAACATTCGTGGCAGTTTCATTTGTAATAGCTCCGTTACAGATTGAATCGTATGACTGCATAATCATACCCTGAAGCCCTAACCCCTCGCATGATTATATGTAGAGATAGGGCCTTTCAAGAGGTAATTAAGATCTGGGGCGCCTGGGTGGCTTAGTCGGTTAAGCGTTCGACTTTCGCTTAGGTCATGATCTCGCGGTTTGTGGGTTCGAGCCCCGCGTCGGGCTCTGTGCTGACTGCCAGCTCAGAGCCTGGAGCCTGTTTCACAGTCTGTGTCTCCCTCTCTCTCTGACCCTCCCCTGCTCACGCTGTCTCTCTCTCTCTCCTAGAAATAAAAAAAAAAAAAAGGTAATTAAGATCTATATGGTCATAAAAGTGGGGCCCTAAAGCCAATGGGATTATGTATTAATATTTTGGTTAATACTGTGCTGATGATTCACGTGTGGCTCAACCAATTTTTCAGTCCCATATACATTTATTAGGCCAACTTTGATAATAATGTTGTTCTTTTTTGGTGTTTTACATATTTACTAATTATTTTTACTTGTTCAATCTTTGATTACTGAGTGAGGTATATTAAACATTCCTTATTATAATTGTGGATTTTCTGTTTCTTCTTATACTTCTGTCTATTTTTGCTGTATAAAGTGTGTATCTATTTAGCAGGCACATATAAGGGAGAATTTTTTTAATGTTCATTTATTTATTTTGAGAGAGAGCGACAAAGCTTAAGTGGGCGAGGGGAAGAGAGAGAATCATAAGCAGGCTCCATGCTCAGTGTGGAGCCAGATGTGGGGCTCAATCCCATGACCCGTGAGATCATGACTCGAGCCCAAGTCAAGAGTCAGATGTTCAACACACTGAGCCACCCAGGGGCCCCAGGGAGATTCTTTTTTGTATCATCCTGGTAAATGGAATAATTTTTTATTATGTGATGATTCTTTTCACCTTTAGTATTTCTTTCAACTTTGAAGTTTATATTTTGTCTCATATTAATATAGGAGTGCCTGGGTGACTCAGTCAGTGAAGCGTCTGACTCTTGATTTCGGCTCAGGTCATGATCTCACGGGTCATGGGATTGAGCCCCATGTCAGGCTCTGTGCTGACAGCTCAGAGCCTGGAGCCTGCTTCAAATTCTGTGTCTCCCTCCCTCTCTGCCCTAACCCCGCTCGCACTTTGTCTCTCTCTCAAAAATAAATACACATTAAAAAATTGAATAACTAGACCAGGTTTTATTGTTAATGTTTGTATTCTATAGCTCCACCAAGAAACAAAACAGAGGAGTTCATTCCAAAACTCTGTCCCCTTTGCCTGCCCCCATCTAGCTTCCTCCACTTACCAGTCGTTCAGTCCCCAAACCTAGAGCCTCCTTGGTCTCTCTCTCCTTCAAGTTCCACATCCAATCCGTGAGCAAGTCCTATTGGCTTTACCTCCAAAATATAACCCCAATCCAGCCCATTCCTGCCACCCTCACCTCTGTTCTCTCTTAGACCCCTGCTGTGGCCCCCTGGCTTCTGTATCAGAGCAGGCCCTGCCCTTCAAGAACAGAAATTAGGTCACCTCAGCCCCCCCTATTCAGAACTTTCCAGTGGCTTCCTAGCACACTTGAAATAAAATCCAATCCCCACACCTTTCCCTTCCTTGTCCACTGGCCTTCAGCCACGCTGGCCTCCCTGCTTTCTTCAGGACAGGTCAAGCTCCTTCCCAGAACAGGGCTTTTGCTTTTTCTCTTCCTTCCCCCAGGCCTCCGCCTGGCCCCCTTGCCATTGGGTGAAGGTGCTCTTGGGAGCCTCAATATTACCTTCCTGACCTTTCCTGAGCCACCTGTGGAAAGTAGTACCCCCCCCACCCCACCCCCGCGCTCCCCGCCTCCACCATGCCATTCCCCCTTATCACGGCACTTACCTGCTCCGGGATTTACCTCGGTGATGTGATGATGGTCTCTCACCCCCTCCCCGTCCCGGGGCCTGTCGGGCACTGCTAGTTCCCCAAGAACAATGCCCCGTGTGCAGGCCCCTTCTTGGGCCGCAGGTGTTCTCAGAGCTGCGGGCCCCGCTGGCTGACGGCCACACGGCGTCCAGCGCGCTGCCTGGCACACAGCAGGCGGTCTGCAAGGCCTGAGGGCAGCGGCCGCTGGCGCTCACGAGGGCAGCCACCGCGCAGCCCTGGCGAGGCCGGAGGAGGAGGCTGGCCCGCCGGGCCCCGGAGCCGGTGAGAGGGCCGCAGCCAGGTGTTCTCCCCAGAGCCCGAGCCCTAACCGGACTGTCGTCGTTCTGTCCCAGCCCGTGGCTGCCTGGTCGGGCACGCGGACGGGTGGACGATCGGGCGGATAAAGGGCCGAGGGAGCCCGTGTTCTGCCAGCTCCCTCGCCCCAGAGGCCGAGTCTGCGGCCCACGCTCTCCTGTCTCCTCCCTCAGCGCCCCGACCCCCAGGCGGTGGCGAAAAGTGAAGAAGTGTGCAGGCACCAAGGAGCTGGCGTGTCCTCTGATGTGCCTGGAGAACCAGGACCTATACAACAAGTTCAAGGGGCGCGTGTGGGCGGCCTCGCCCGGCGCCAGGTCCCCGCCGGCGGAGTCCCAGTACCTGGACTACCTGTTTGACGGTAAGTCTGGGCTGAGGGACCGGGGGAGGCCCCCGTCCGGGAACGTGGCTCGGCCGAGCCGCTGTCCGGGCCACTGTCTCCCCCGCCCCAGAGCAGGGAGCGTGGCGGGGCGTTAGGGGAACCTGCCAGGGTGCACTTACTCCTATTTTTTAGGTTCAAATTCTCTTTAAGAAACAATTTTTTAAAATCCCAGTTGCAAAAGTAACCCCTGCTCAGTGTCGAATCTGGGGGAAGAGGGGTGGGGAAGAAGATGAAAATAGAGAGGAAAGCACCCTCCACGCCTACCACGTTCAGAAGTCACCAGTGTTGGGGTGCCTGGGGGGCTCAGCCGGCGAAGTGTCCAACTTCGGCTCGGGTCATAAAATCATGTAGTTCGTGGGTTCGAGCCCCGCGTCGGGCTCTGTGCCGACAGCTCAGAGCCTGGAGCCTGCTTGGGATCCTGTGTCTCCCTCTCTCTCTCTCTGCCCACTCATGCTCTGTCTCCCAAAAATAAATAAGTAATTGTTTAAAAAAAAAATAACCGAACACTGGGCAAGGAGAGCACTTTTCTCTTCTGAGTATGTTTTATTTCAAATACTAATGACAAACCTGTGGGATTCATTCTCATTGGCCCATTAAAAAAAAAAGCAGCCAATTAAGTAAGAATCACAAAAGTTAAGGAATTACCAGGATACACAGCGTATAGGGGGTGGAGATGGAATGCGAATCTGGGTCTTTCTCACCTTGGACACGGTATTCGCACAGACCAAGAGTGAGGTGGAGTGGTAAGAAGGAGGGAATAAATACTCGGACAATATCCTCACAGAGCTGGGATTGGTAACTTGCTGTCCAGTCTTCTCAAAATATTTGAGAGCAAAGGAAGGCTCAGATAGAGAGGAGGAAGGGCTTGAATGAAGGGCGGCAGGGAGGGAGAGGAGAGAGGAAGAGCTGACTCGGGTAGAAGCCGGCTGGGTGGATGGATGGAAAGGGGAGAAGGATGGGTGGGTAAGGAGAAAGGAAGCATGGAGGGGGTGCAGAGGACACGGGGCAGGTGGGGAAGGAAGAAGGCCACATGGGAAGACACGCTGACCGGGAAGAGGAAGCACGTGTGGATGGGGGAGGTGGAGGACAGGCAGGAAGGGCAGGCGGATGGGTCAGTGGCTAGACAGCCGCTCGATAGAAGGCCGGCCGGCTGCCTCGGAAGGGACGGAAGGGCGTGAGGAAAGGAGAGGCAAGAGAGGAAGCGGGGGGGGGGGGGGGGGGGGGGGTGGAGACAGCCAAGAAGGAAAGATGTATGGAAAGTGAGGAAGAATGGGTGGATGGGAGGAAAGCAGGTGGCTGGCGAGACTAAAGGCAGGAAGACAGTATAAAGGGGCAGGAAGAAAGGATGGTGGGAAGGCGAGCCGGCAGACAGGCCAGCAGAGCAAAGGATGAACTAACGGATGCATGGCCAGGAATAAGAGATGAGAAGGAAAGATGCAGCGAGGAGGTTACCTTTTTAAGTATTATTAATTTTGATGTGGCCTCCCCCTCCCTAAAGTCCTCCTGACCCTCCCCCAGCGCACCCCACGCCGGAATGAGCCTCCCTGCCTTTTCCTGCCCTCGGCCGTGGCCCTGGTCATTTTCTCGCGTATTTCATTTCCCCTCAATTTCCTCCAGCTCCTGGAGGTCAAGATCTCCGTTCCCGCCAGCTCCCTGCCCAGGGCTTGATAGGCAATCGGTGTCCCCGCTGGACTCTGCCCCACAGAACAGAGATAATGCGTGAGTGTTGTTTGCAGCTGCTCTGAGGTGGGGTCACCAAGTGGGCAGAAGTCTGACAGCCCAGTGGTACATGAAGGGCGCCCAGGTGCCAGGCACAGCGTGAGGAAAGGCAGGTTAGCCGTGAGCGTGGCCTGTTCATTTCACCTCTCTGAGCCTCAGTTTGCCCTTCTCTAAGATGGGAATACGTCCTATCCCAAGGTCACAGCAAGGCTCCAGTAAAATGGCTTGAAGGCCCTTGACACCAACACTAGAGCCTTTTTCCCTCTCCAGGAGGGCTCTCTGGGCTGGCGGCGGGGCGCAGGGGGCGCGGGGGAGCAGGCCTGCCTGGACGCGGGGACGCGGGTGCTGACGGGTCCTGTTCTGTTTCTGCCAGTGGAGCCGGCCCCACCCGTCCTGGTCATCACCCGGACAGAGGAGGTCCTGAGAATCAGCGCCACGTACCAGCTGCCGCACTGCATGCCGCCACCGGATCTGAAGTACGAGGTGGATTTCTGGAAGGAGGGAAGCAGGAACAAGGTATGGAGCCTCTTTCCTGCCCCCTGGCTGGACCGCTTCCCTCCCCTACCGCCCCACCAAACCCCAGTGCCTTGCATCCTCCCTCCTGCTTTCTGCGCACCTCCTCCAAGAAGCCTTCCCCTCATACCTCCACTCCTGGCAGTCACTACCTGACTCTGTGCAGCATGCTTGGCTTGTAGCCCACCCCTGTGCCCTTTTCCGCCTGAAGCCAAGTGCAGGGCATCCTGCCCCTGCCCATTATAAGTGGTAACAGCATAGTTTTTCTACCCTATATATATATACGTATATATATATAGGGTAGAAAAATTTATATACCTTATAAAAATTTATATACCCTATAAAATACATATATTTATAATTATGAAGTCCTTTTTTCCCAATGATATCTGATTGAAACATGATAGGCTCTAAGAGATCTGCTTGCCAAGCCATTGGATCTCCATTACCAAAAACTCAGAAAGTACAGATACGTTCTAGGAAGAAAACTACAAGTACCCAGAGACCACCTCAAACACCCGGCTTCAGACTTGTTTCTCGTATATGCACGTGTGCCTGTCTGCACATGTTTGTTGGTGGCAGAGGTTGGCAAGCTTTTTCTGTAAAGAGCCAGAGAGCAGATGTTTCTTGACTTTGGGAGTCACGCGGTCTGTCACAGCTAGTCAACTCTGCGTCCACTGCACAGAGGGAGCCATGAACACTAGGTCAGTAAAGGGGCACAGCTGGGTTCCAGGAGAAAGCTGTGTACGAGAAAAGGTAGCAGGTCACATTTGACCCATGTGGTTTACTGTCCGCTGTTTTTATTCTTTCTTTCTTTCGCTGAACCAGCATTCACACTCCTGACCCCCTGCATATGTACGCTGGGTCCCGGGGACATGGATCGTCTTCCAGTGTGGGCCCTGCCTTTAAGAACATATCAAACATTGTAGGGGCACCTGAGTGGCTCAGTCGGTTAAGTGTCCCACTTCAGCCCAGGTCATGATCTCGCCGTTCATGAGTTTGAGCCCCATGTCAGGCTTTGTGCTGACAGCTCAGAGCCTGGAGCCTGCTTCGGATTCTGTGTCTCCCTCTCTCTCTGTTCCTTCCCTGCTCACACTTTACCTCTCTCTCAAAACTAAATAAATCTAAAAGAATTTTTATCAAGACCATCTCAAACATTCTAGACCAGCACTGTCCAATAGATGTATAAAGTGAATGAGCACCTGGGTGGCTCAGTTGTTAAGCGTCCAACTTCAGCTCAGGTCATGATCTCATGATTCATGAGTTCAAGTCCCACATTGGGTGAGCACAAGCCCTGCTTTGGGTAAGCCCCACTTCTCTCTCTCTCTCTCTCTCTGCCCATTGCTCACTTGTGTCTTCTCTCTCTCTCTCTCAAAAATATATATAAATAAATAAATATTTTAAAGATTAAAAAAACGAATATAATGTGAGCCACAGGTGTCATTTTAAATGTTCCTCATTAAATTAAGAAAACCAAGTTAATTTAATTTTAATAATTTATTTCATCCCATAAAATGTTATCATTTCAACATGTAAATAACATAAAAACTGTTGGCATGTCTTACATTCTTTTTGCACCCCTAGTCTTTGAATTTTTTTTAATGTTTATTTATTTTTGAGAGAGAGAGTTGTAGTATGAGCAGGGGAGGGGCAGAGAGAGATGGAGACACACAACCTGTCTCCGAGCTGTCAGCTCAGAGCCCGATGCGTGGGGCTCGAACTCACGAACTGCAAGATTGTGACCCAAGCCAAAGTCAGACACTCAACTGACTGAGTCACCCGGGCACCTGGCACCTAGTCTTTGAGAGCCAGAGTGTATTTTATAGTTGGAGCGCATCTCAGTTAGAACCAGTCACACTTCAAGTGCTAGTCACATGTGGCCGGTGGCCACCAGACTGGGCAGGAAAACCCTAGAGTTTCTGGATCTGTAGTGACTGAATGCTGCTCCCTACCCCCAAATACACTGTGAGGCTCCGAGTGCAGGCAGCCTGCAGAATCTGCCCTTCAAAGAGGGGACCCACAGGCCCTGGCGGGGGGGGACGGGGGCGCATGCACACCTTGAGTGGCGGGGCTACTTCTGAGCACAGACCATCTCTACTTCAAGACTCAGTGGAAAAGAAGCCAGATAACGTTGGGAAGTGTGCCCATAATGCTTACGCTTCAGTGCAGGGAAAGAAGATGTGGGGCGGCAGCAGGACCCTGCCGGCCCCACCCTGTCCTGATGGCACAGAGCCAGTCCCCACAGCAGAAGCCCTGCTGTCTCTCCAAACAGACACGATTTCCAGTCACCCCCCATGGCCAGCCAGTCCAGATCCCCCTGCAGCCAGCCACCAGCGGACACCACTGCCTCAGTGCCAGAACCATCTACACCTTTGGTGATCCTAAGTACAGCGAGTTCTCCAAGCCTACCTGCTTCTTCCTGGAGGCCCCAGGTGAGTGCAAAGTGATACAGAAGTGAGGATATCCACCCCCACCCCCACACTGGGACATACCCTCTTCATCATAAGGTGGTTAAGAGCATGGGTGTAGAGATAGACTCACCTCAATTAAAATCCCGGCTTCACCATACCCGCTGTGTGTCTTTGGGTAGCTTACATAACCTCTCTGAATCTTGGTTTCCAAAGTCTGTAGGATTGGCTTATTCTTAATGAGGATTATGGGGGATAATGTACATGAAGCCCACTGCACATGTGCAGTTGACAGATGGGAGCCATGATCATTGTTTCTGTAGTTCTTATTCTTCCTTCCTTAGGAGCCAGCTGGGTATTCCTGGTGTTGCTGCCGCTTCTGCTTCCACTGCTGTTGGTCACTGCCATAGGCTATGTGGTCTGGAAGAGCCTCACAGAGAACCCCTGGCTTCGGCAGGCAAAGATGCCATGGGCCCTGGTATGGCAAATCTGAGCACATGCGGGGGGGCGGGGGGGGTAGGGGTAGAGATGGGTTGTTCATAAGAATAAGGAAATGGGGCTGGACTTAGACATAGGTCAGACACACAGACTATCGAGATAGTCCAGACTGCGGACATCTCCTGTCTTCGTGTCTAAATTTCCACCATTAGTAACTCATTCCTTTGACACCAAATTCAAACAGCAAATCTACCTGGGAGGGAGAAGTGCCTTAGGTCGCCATAGTGAAATAACTTCATCTCTGCCAAGGATTTGTTGGGTACTGAGAGCAGAGCCACCAGCCTTGGGTCTCAGGAGAGATGCCCAGAAGGGGCACGGGGAGAGGGTGGTGCCGAAAGGGGAAATCTTAGAAGGGTCCCAGCACTTAGTTCCCAGTTTACCCACGGGGGAGTCTTGCCTGGGCTGACACTGGGATCGCCTCCCTCACCTGCTGGCTCACTTCCTTAAGGCTGAGGGCCAGCTAGGGCAGGGGGTGCCTGAAGGGGGCAGATGGGTCCAGTTTGTTCAAACGAGGGCCCTTGGTGGGGCTTGGTGGACACTCAGGTCAGGATGGCTTTGAGGATGGACTCTGAGTATCTTTGCCACACAGAGGTGTCTTCGATGTCCCTGCAGGGAAATCCCCACTGGACGACGTCTGTGTTAGACGTTTGTGCGCCCTGCCCCACCCCTCTACCTGCGTCTTATGTGGAAAGTCACCAGTTTCCAGCAGCCACATCACCCGCATCCCGGGGGTGTCCTCTGGCTTCTGGTGTCCACTGTGCCTAAGTGTGTGGCGAGTGCCAGGAGCTAGCACGACTGCCACACCTTCCCGCCCGTCACCCGATGGTGCCCTGAGTCCCCAGCCACCCAAGGGGTGATGACACCCTCTGCTGGCAGCTCTCCCCAGCCCCACTGAATTCTCCTACTCCCTTACTAGGGTTTCCTGGGATCCCTTCCGGAAAGAACTATTTACATTTGAATCTTTGTCTCGGGGTCTATTTCCAGGGGAACCCAGGCTCCGGGAAAGCCTACCTTTTCTCTTCTTTTCTCCCCTTCCCAAATCAGGACTTTACTGGACATAGACACCCCGTGGCAACCTTTCAGCCCTGTGACCCTGAGTCCCCAGATGCCTTGATCCTCTGTCCCCGGAAGGAACTGACCAGAAGGGTCAGGCCGAGCCCTAGCATCAGGACCCCAGTCACCGTCCAGGCAGGATCACAGGAGGACAGTGCTGAGGAGGAGATGGGCGAGGAGGAGGACACAGACGATGGTGTCAGCTTCCAGCCCTACATTGAACCACCGCCCTTCCTGGGGCGGGACCAGCAGACGCCGGGGCACCCTGAGGCAGGGGACACTTGGACTCCTCCCATCCAGGTGGAAAGCTCCTCAGCCACGGAGTCTTCAGACAGAAGCTGGGCCGGCACCGAGGACTCCTCTCCCTGGGATGAGCCCGGCTCTTCTTGCTATTTAGCCAAGAAAGGGCCAGACCAAGGGCCAGGTGCGGATGGGTGTCAGGAGCCTCTTCTCCCCGAGTTCGCCCAGGACTTGAGTTTCCCGGAAGATCCCATGAAGGATGACCTTTCCTCCTGGACCAGGTGCTTTTCATCACCAGGGCTGAACCTGGTCCCTGGGGAGCCCCCCGTTTCTCTTCACACACTGACCTTCTGCTGGGACAGCAGCCCTGAGGAGGAAGAGGAGGAGGAGGAAGAAGGCGGAGGGGGAGGGGAAGGGGAGAGGGAGTCAGAGATTGAGGATGACGTTACTGGCAGTTGGAGGGCTGAGAGCCTCCAGAAAGCGGAGGTCAGGGGTGGGATACTAGGGCATTACATGGCCAGGTGAGCTTTCTTCAGCATCCCTCCAAGTCCGTGCTTTCCAAGGAACCAAGATGCCACCGAGACTTGAGAGCCTGGGAGCCTGCTCACCGAGCTCGTGGGGGGCTCCTGCAGCGCGTCAGAAACCCCAGCTGCGGAAGCCACCCCATGCTTTGACTCACTGGCCTTGGGCTGAGCTCTAAGAAGGGTGAAGACAATGGGCTGAGGTCAGAGGCTGGCTGGGTGTCACAGCACCCCTGTGCCTTTGGGGTGACAGGCCAGGTAGAGAAAGCCTCCCTGGACAGCATGAAACAGGTGAAGTCGGGTCACAGTGGACAATCAAGGGCTGGCCCCACAAGGGACCATTTGGATCTGGACGCAGGACGTTTGGCGACATCTTTACGAGTGTCATGGCTTTTCTCCAGCACCCGCTGAGCTCCCCCATCCCCTGGGTCTCAGCTCCTGTCTCATGAGTCCTCTGGGGTGGGCCTCAGTGAAGAAAACTCCAATAAGCAGGGGGTGTTGGAAAGGAAAGGGTGGGCTCATTCAAACCCCAGCCTCTGACTTATGGAAGGAAGTACACAGCTTTTTTTTTTTTTTTTTTTTTTTTTAAGAAAGAGAGAGAGAGAGCCTGAGCGGCGGAGAGGCAGAAAGAGAGAGGGAATCCCAAGCAGGTTCTACACGGTCAGCACAGAGCCAGACGTGGGGCTCGAACTCACAAACTGTGAGCTCATGACCTGAGCCGAAATCAAGAGCCGGATGCTTGGGGTGCCTGCGTGGCTCAGTCGGTTAAGCATCCAACTTCAGCTTAGGTCATGATTTCATGGTTCATGAGTTCAAGCCCACCTCGGGCTCTGTGCTGACAGAGCCTGGAGCCTGCTTCAGATTCGTCTCTCCCTCTCTCTCTGCTCCTCTCCTGCTTGCACTCTGTCTCTCTCTCTCAAACATGAACAAACATTAAAAAATTAAAAAAAAAAAAAAGAGTCGGACGCTTAACTAACTGAGCCACGCAGGCGCCCCTACACAGCTTTGGTTATCAGAGACCTGGTTTCAGAGCCCAGCTCTGCCATCTACCAGTCATGTGACGTTGGGTAGGTCGCCTTCCTTCTCTGTCCCTGGGTTTTCTCGTCTGCAGCCACTGCCTGGTGTACACTGAGGGGCTCAAGACAGAAACGTGTGGCATGGTGCCTGCCCCATCCTCGGTGCTGTCTGGGTGGTGGCTGGTGGCCTCTCCCACCTGTGACCCCTAAACCGAGAGACTAGAAGCGTTCACATTTCAGCTGGTCTCCCCTCAGTCTACCTCCTGCCGTCCACCTTCCCTTCCTCTCTCCTCCTGGTCAGGAAACCACACTCTCAGAAGCCAGAGCCCAGCCAAGGAGGCCCCTGATCCCTCTCCCCTTTCCCAGAAAAGTGATCCATCCACCTTCCCAGGGGTCCAATGTGTTGGGGTTGGAGTAACAACCCGGCGGCAGCCAATTGGACTCGTGGGTCTGTGATCCCCGTTTTAGACCGCACTTTAGGCCTTTGGTTATGAGGAAGTCCCAGTTTCCCTTCTAGTTATGGGAATCGAGTGTCTTCTGGAAGCAGGTGCGTTAAAAGGAGGGGAAGAGACAGTAAAGTATCCCCCAAACTGAGATGCCACTTTGAGACCAGGAAATGAGGCAGGCGACTCCATATGGTTTTTACACGAGTTTTATTCAGGGTAATTTACTGACAGGGTGGGGCCGGGGGGCGGGGATTGGGCGGAGGATAATCCACGCAATTGCATAGTAATTCTCTGCAAAATTCAGACCTCAGCGTTCAGGTCTGAAGGGGCCAGGGGCCACTCAGAAGGGCATTGCAGTGAGATCAGAGGATCCACCTGCATCTCAAAGGGCTGAGTGCACCTCGTTGACAGCTGACCTTTAATTAGATCGTGTGGCCCCACCTGTGCATAGAGACTATGTCCTAACAGATTCACGGGAAGCTAAAACAAGCTGCCCCCCTTCCCGGCCTTGGTGGGCATTTCTAAGATATATCTATGACTCTTCAAGGGCCCGGGACACATAGCCCTGAGAAGGTCACAGAGGAAATACGAACAAGATGGAGGGCCAAAGATGGAGTCCGTATTGTCAGCGCTCCCTTCTCAAACAACTGCCTTGTTAACCTATACCCATCAGTGTATGGGTGAGCATACTGAGCATTCACCCATCGGGACCAAGATTTTTGTCATTCTGTGGCCAAGCCTCTGAACAATCATGGCTCCCAGACCTGGGCCCTGCCATTTAACTGCCAGGACTTATGTTTCCGACATTTGTGAGAAAAGCATCTTTGTAACCATTTCACCCGCAGAGCCTGTTGTAACATGAAGGTATAACATTAAATGAAAGATCTGGAAAAGGGAATCTGGTTCAAGGGTTCTCAAATCATGCTCCCAAACAGTCTTGGGTTTTGTGGGCGGATCGGAATTGTAGAGGGAGCCAAGGGAGGTATGAATCCCCCAGGACAGCCAGAGCAGCCTCCCTGTGCCGGGCTCCACCCTGTGGCCTTCCGTGTGAGGCTGTGCTTAGCCGGGGCTCCCCTGCTAAAAAAAAGCAAACTACTTGTTGGATTGAATATGTCTTTTGTTTCAAGTAAACAAATGTCCACTTACTATAGATGTCCCTAAGGATGAGCTCTTTGGTCTTTGGCCAGCTGGGCCCACCCCCATGGCCTTGGCCATGTCAGTCTCAGCAAGGATTTCTGAGGAGCACTAAACTGCGAGAGGCCTTCACCACGGCTGGGACCCCCACATACATGCACACGCATGCACCCACACATATGCATTTCTGCAGGAGTTGGGGCTTGTCCACATCCCTAAGCACAGACAGAGGAGGAAGAGTGTACTCAAGCCAAGGAGCTAGGGAAGGCTATGGCTCAGGGCCAGTTTTCCGGAAAATGCCCAGACAGTTGCTAACTGACATTCTTTCTGAGACCCAGCGGCTTCATGGAGGTAACTTTAAAAAAGTAAAAACTACCATCACTGTTGTCTCAGGCTTCTGTGAAGGAACCACTTGATCTCTTTACTTAAACCTTGCTGTTGTGGTTTTTTTTTTAAGCCTTGTTATTTTATCAAGCATTGTTTTTCCAAGTTTCATCTCTGAGATAGGCTGAGCTTTTTTATAGTAATTCTCAATGTCAGCTCATCAAGAGTTTCATTTTAGAGTCATGAAGTCATCAACAACAAGCCATAAGAAGCATTAGGAAAGAGCATGATATTCAGTATAATCATGTGTTGGACATGCTGAGCACTCAACTGTTTACAGAGCCCATGTACAGGGCTGCCAGGAAGTGCATAACATGAGCTCAGGGGCCACGGCCATGGGTGAAGGATATGGGGGAGATGCCTTATGCTAAAGCAACATTGTAATCCTTTATCTTTTTAAGTGAATAAAATTTTTTAAATAGTTTTTTAAATTTTATTTGAGAGAGAGAGAGTGTGTGTGTGTGCATACGCACGCACGCACGCAAGCAAGGGATGTGGGCAGAGAGAGAGAGAGGGAGAATCTTAAGCAGACTCCTCAACACAGATCCTGGCATGGGGCTCCATCTCACAACCCTGGGATCATGACCTGAGCCGAAATCAAGAGTTGGATGCTCAACCGACTGAGCCACCCTGACACCCCAACGTTGTAATTCCTTGGCACAACTAGATTCTGTATTGTTCTTAGGTATTTGTATCTATTTCTAATTTTGTTTGAGGTTTATGTCACATTTAAGTAATTCCCTAATGGTCTTTGGTTGCTACCGTAAATTGTTCTAAATGAAAAGCTCTGTTTTTTAGAGAAAACAGCAGGATTGAATGGAGATATACATGCTCTTATTTCTCAAAGGGTCTTCACCACTCATCTAGCTGTGAAGACCACAAGGATCTTGGGTTGGGTCCCCAGCAGCAGACCCAGAGACTGGAATTCGGGGGTATAAGCAGTGCTGGGATTCCAGAAAGCACCAACAGGGGAGTGGGAAGCCAGGCAGGGAGGGAAGCAGCTGTTCAGGTACATAATCAAATGTGTCACTGCCCTGGACAATTGGGACTCAGTCCCCCTGGAAGCCTTTGGGAGTTCAGTATGGGGCTCTCCAGATTTGTTCTGGAGGAGCAGGGTCTGGGGAATGGATTCTCCAACCCATCTCTCTCCCACAGAGAGATTCTCTCCCTATCTGTCTCTCTCTCTGGGCCGCTCTCTCCCACAAGTCATAGATACATGCAGTTGGAATACATCAAGCTGAGTGCCCGAGAAAGGGGAGCACTGTGGAGTTGGGGCAGGACACTCATGTCGCTAGCTACAGTAAGGCCCACAATGTGTCCACTACCCTGACACTACCCTATGCTACAGTGGCCCATGGAAGGATACAGAACATCCTCTGTGGCTGGCCTTGCAAAACCAAACTCATTCCAGTAGATCTCTGCTGGGGAGAAGCTCCCAGCTTCCAGTGGTTGTCCCAAGGCCACTTGGTAACCGGCTAGCACAGTGCCTGCAGATTGCCACCGTTTCCCAGTGCCAGGGCAGATGCTAGACCCAAGCTGAGCGGATCCAACAAGTCCCTTTCGGTGGAATTCAGAAGTCTTGGTTGCCTGGATGTAAAACATGTAAATTCCATCCTGCTCTGGCCCCATTTTGCTCTCCAAGAAGCAGGAAAGCACGGCGTGCAGAAGAAACAAAAATGAGACAGGTGAGCTGCCAAGATGAGAAGTTATAAGCCCTGGCTCCCATTCGTTCCTGAGGCCCAGCTGCAGCCCTGTCCCGGGCTTTCTGGAATCATAGTTTTATTTTTATTTTTTTATTTTTATTTTTTTTATTTATTTCTAGGAGAGAGAGACAGCGTGAGCAGGGGGGGTCAGAGAGAGAGGGAGTCACAGACTCTGAAACGGGCTCCAGACTCTGAGCTGGCAGTCAGCACAGAGCCCGACGCCGGGCTCGAACCCACAAGCCGAGATCATGACCCAAGCGAAAGTCGGACGCTTAACCGACTAAGCCACCCAGGCGCCCCTGGAATCATAGTTTTAAACCATCTCCCTGGGCTGCTTGTTTCTTGTAACCAGATTTCCTCACCAATTCACAAAGAGACCGTGCATATTACAGCTTGTGGTCCGGTTGGAGCATCTATCCCCTTAAATGGATGTGCAGTAGGTCCTTTCCAGAAAACAGAGCAGAACTTTCTCTCCAAGTGATCCAATCATCTCCCATCCTGCCTTCTGACTCCAGGTTCGCCTTTGGAGGGTCTGTTGGCCTATCTGCTGCCCATCTTCTGGACAGAGGTGGGTTAGCAGGACTGTGGATTGCACAGGTCCTTGGAGCTGGGAGAGGGGACGGTTAGGGTACCAGGTGTTGCATCCCAAGAACTCCTTTAGGGAAGGGAGTTCTTCCTGGCACCAGGACCCAGCATAGGGTCCAAGTTTGGTTTTGAATCCATTAATGAAGGAACAAACGAGTGCATTGATCTAGGAATTGGAGTCAGTAAGGGGCTGGCTACGACTGACTTCCATATAAGGTAGCCAGAAACCCTGCATTAGATGATACCATCCCAGACCCCAAATTCTTGTCCCTTGTGAATAACTGTCCTCCCTCAACCCAGCATCTGCTCTGAGGGGAGCGGTCAG